TTATATTTATATTTACGCGTCCTATCATAACATTCAAGCTCTTAGGATATTTTACTATAAACTTATATATGCTATATTATTTTCCACACTTTTATGTAGTCTCCCATCGTCACATTGTGACTGCTGCTCACTGCACTCTGCAGATCAGCCAGATCACCAACATTGTGGCTATAGTTGGCACCAACAATCTGCAAAATCGTAAGTGAATTAAATCAATTTTTTATCAATATTTCCGCCACATAATCCATCACCATCAAATCAAATTCTACAGCGAGCAGCTCCATGTACTACGCCCAATATGCCATACAGCAGATGCTGCGCCATCCGCAATACCAAAACGAGCCGAATGTTGTGAATGACATCGCCCTGCTGATCACAGCGCAGAACATTAAGTGGACACGTGGCGTGGGTCCCATCTGCTTGCCACCTGTTGGCACGTGAGTAGAGAGGCAGCATTGATTCTTATTGATTAACAAATCCTCACTCTGTTCCACTTTCTGTGCAGTTCCAGTAGCTTTGCCTATGAGGGCGTCGATGTAATTGGCTGGGGCACAACCTACTTTGCCGGCCCCACCGCCAACCTGCTGCAGAAGGTGGATCTTATGGTTGCGAGCAATTCGGACTGCCAGACGGACTACAATAACTATGCCGTAATCAACTCTGGCCAAATATGCACCTACGACTACCTGGGCCAGAAGCGCGACTCCTGCCAGTACGATTCCGGCGGCCCGGTCATCAAGCGGCTCTCCAGGCAATTCCTTGTGGGCATCATCAGTTTCGGCAAGACCTGCGCCTCAGCCTCCTACGCAATGGGCGTGAACACACGCGTCACAGCATACGTCAACTGGATACGCCAGAACACTGGACTTACCACTTGTGTGGTTTCCATGCAATAACTAATTATGTAGCTGAATTGTCTCAAAAAGCTAAGGAAAATATTCAAAATGTATTAAAATATTAAAATAAATGTAATAATTATAATGTTAATGTTCTTTATAATTCGCTGAAGGGAAAAAAATTTAAGCAATCTCATTTTTAAATCATATGTCATCAGGCTATAATGGTTCTGTTATATGTATTAGACAATTCTTAGAAGCGCTGTGCAAAGGCACATAAGGTAAGCCAATGTTAATTCAGTTAAAACTGTAAATTTCTTATAAATTGAAAGTGTTTTTTGAGAACAACTTAAATACATATTTTATATACAGATTCTTGACTTAATAGATTCTGCACTTTAAAATTAAAA